CCCCATCCAGCCTCCTCTGTGCAAGAACAATTTGTGCGGGCAAGATTTGTGTCCATGCCCACTGCAGCTTGGAGTCTCGGGCTGCCTTCTCCAGGAACTTGAGGCGCACTGGACATGGATGAAAACACCCCCTGAAGGTTCGATGTTTATCCATATCCAGTATTCCTCGGCCCTCCGGCGCCCAATCCCAAAACGTCCAAGACGCACTGAATATGGATACGCATGAATTTTGCCGGCAGTTTGCCGCGTTACACAGAGAAGCTCCCTCCTTCCGCCGCGCCCACGGCCAGCCCCGCCTCGGGCCGATCACCTCGCCCACCGCCCTGTCCGCGGCGGAGCATGGAGGCTCGCCGCGCGCTCATGGTGGCTGGCGGCTCGGCGACGCGGCCCGCTCGCGGGGAGCAGGCGGGCGGCGCGGACGACGGTGGCCCCCCGCGGATGGAGCTTCCCGGCGCCACGAAGTGTCTCATGGGCGAAAAGCATCGCCGCGCCGTTTGTTCCGACGCGCGGCCTCACGCTTTGGGGAGGGCGCCGCGGTAACCAGGGTAAACGCCGCCTCGGGCGCGCTGGTGGGTTTGCCGTGGTGTCGGCGTCGTCCACTTGGGCGCGTCGAGAACAAGCGGCGCGGCGACACGTGCTCTTTTTACCGGCGAGGCTAGACGGGAAACCATCTGTGCGGACGGAAGAGAGTTCAAAGCATGCGAAGACGCCTCAGGAAGTTTTGGGTTTGGAATGCGGCAAGGGGGCGGCGAGGCTGACCTTCTTTCGCAGTCGCGTTCGCAGTCGCACCTCCTCCCGCTTGATGGCGTTGAGCGTTGGGCGGAACACATATCCGTGTCCGCGGCCTCGCGGGCCAGTCTCCTGAGCCGCGACCTCGCGGATACGGGCTGTTTTTTCGCGGATGCCCCGCGCGGAAAGTGCCTGTGTGACCGCGTATCCGCCTGACCTTTGGGAGCCTCGGGGAGGCTTTTCGCCGCCACGGGCCCTGAATTGTCGGCCAGGGCGCGCGCCTGCTCGGGTCTGGGGGCTGATTCTGGACCCCGAACCCAGACCGTCCGATTCGGGCGTCGCAAGAGTACATTGGCGACCAACCCAGCCCATCTGCAACAAGTGACCAAACGCATCGCCAAATTTTCTGGGTGGTGACCTGGGAAGGGCCGCGATTTCTTGTGAGAGCTACATGGGGGGCTCGTGTGTTCGTTACACGCTTCACAGGACACCGGTGAAAGGTCGAGGGCAGGATGGACACAGTTTTGGCCTCAGGCTCGACAGGGTGTGGGACAGGGAGTGGGACAGCTTCGCAGTTCGCGGCACCCAGGTACCCAGGGACATCCAGTTCCCATGTTTAATAGAATAAGATGCCACTCTGCTGGACCTCCCAGGAGCCCACGACAGCGGCGACAATTTCGCAGCTCGCAGCGCCGAAAGACGGCGAGATCCCATCTGACCTGACTGAGACGTCACTCCGCTGGACCTCCCAGAAGCCCACGAAAGTGGCAACACGACAGTTTGCAGTTCCAGGCGCCCAAGCACGGCGAGGCCTCAGTTGAGCTGAAAAAGACATCACACATGTGGACCTCCCAAGAGCTCCTGGAAGTAGAAACGGTTTTGCAGTTCGCAGTTAGACATCACTCTGCTGGACCTCCGAGGAGCACTGGAAAGCGGCGACGGTGTCGCAGTTCGCAGCCCCACAGAAACGGCGAGGGAGCAGGCAGAAGGTAAGAAGCAGAATAGAGAGAGAGAGAGAGGGCGGGAGGGAGGCGGGTAGGAAAGAAGGAGGGATGAACCCAAAGCAGGAGGGTAAGGAAGCATTGAGACGCTTTGTGGAGGCTGCCTCCTGGGCCCTGTGAAGGGGCCCGTGCCAGGTCACGATAAAAATATGACGTCGGAGGAGAGGGACGGCGACGTCGACGGCGATGGTGGCGGCGACAGCCTTGGCCGTCAGGAATCGATCTAGAATGACAACGGGCCAGGGAGTTACTCTGAGCGGATCTTGGTTGTGACGGGCGGCGACACGGCCGACGACGACGACGCCGACGACGAGGTCGTCTTCGTTTTGGATGTCTTTGAGAGGTTGTGGAGGTTCTCTTCGCCGCAGCTGGACGGCGGCGACGGCGAGAGCTGTGGGGGCGAGGACTCCGGCGACGGCGACTGCGCCGGCGGCTGCGGCGGCGACGGTTATCCCGGAGATCCGACGTCACGAAGAAAACGCTGCAACACCGTATAGGCAATCACAACCGGAGCCCGCAACTCCTTTTGTTCCCCAATTCGGCTAGCCTGAGGGGTTCTTACTTGGTGGAGAATAATGGCGCCTGGGGGGCTTACTTTGCCCGTTGCCCGGAGGTTCCTCAGGTTCCCTGGAGGTTCCTCGAGGTTCCTCGAATTCCTCGGGTTCCTCGTCGTCGTAGTCGTTTCGGGTGGGTCCGTGCGTTTCTGGATGGCGACGTCGACGGCCACGGCGGCGGTGACGTCGGCGACGGCTGTGGCGGGGAATGCGTCGACGGCGGCGGCGATGGCGGCGACGGCGACGGCTGTGGCGGCGGTGACGGCCGTGGCGGCGAAAGCGACGGCGATGGCCTCGGCGGGCGCGGAAGGCGCCGCCGCGCAGCGCCGGAGAGGGCGCCCCCGAGGAGGAGGCCCTCGCCGAGGAGGCTGCGCACCTCGAGCGCCTGTCCGCGGAGCTGGCGCGGCGGCATCCGGGTGAGGCGTTCGGGCCGCGGCGGCGCGAGCCGTTCGGGCTTGCGCCGGCCAGGCTTAGGGCTGCGGCACAGCAAACCCAGACAGACCCCCTGGCGTCGAGAAGACTTCGAGCTTCGAACTTTGAGGATCGAGGCTTTGTGGGCCTCTGGCGGGCTTCTCGTCGCCACGGCTGGAGTCGCCTCCGAGTTGTGGTCAGAACGCACCCCAGAAGAGGTCTGGGTGTCGACTTGCGACCCCCAAAGCCACACCCTCACGATCTCCGACGACGTGAGTTTTCCAGTCCGGGCGTTTTCCTCGATCTGGGCCTCAAAGGCCCGTTATGGGGGGAACAACAATCGGGGGTTCGTAGAGGGAGGGGTCTCTCAAGGTGGGGAGGGGGGGTCTCTCAAGGTGGGGTTAGGGAACATGCTCATGCTAAGCCAAATGCTTACGTTTCCTTGTTGCACGGGCCGTTTGGGGCGATTTTCCTCTAACCCCACCTCTGGCATTATTCCACCTGTACGCCCCCCCGAAGCAAGTAGGCCCCCCGGATGGCTTAAGCGGGCGGCTTGTCGGCCCCCCCCCGCCCGCTCCGGCGGCCCACTCTGGGGAGTCTTGGCACTTGTCGGACGCGTGCGTTCCGTTTTACAAGTGCAATCGAGGAGCAACTTGGATCATCGTGCGAAAGAATTTTCACATGGAGCCGAGAACTGCACGGGGAATGGACGTCCGAGCGATGGCAAGGCGGGGGGCTCGGAGAGCGCCGCGCGAGGATAGCGCCCAGGAGTGATTGGTTTGCTGAGACCAACCTGTACTACGGTCGGGAACGCTTGTTTAGCGTGTCGCGCCGCCGTCAAGGCGCGGCACGCTAACAACGTCCCAATTCTCCAAGCGCCAGCGTCCGGCACCTTTTCCAGCCTCCCGCGCCCCGCAGATCGGAGCGACTCGCTGCAGTCAAGTCCGCAGTAAAAATGCAGGCAAGGGTGCAAGACCCTTGGGAGACCCTTGCAGAGCTCCTTGGACGCCTCTGGCGCGGGATGGGCCGAAAAGGCAGGGATGCAAGGGTAGCCTTGATGAGGCATCGCATCCATACTATGGACTTTGACTGTATCCCGAGACCCCCGACGACATGTTGTTTCACAGCGTCGACCCTCGGAGGTCTCGACCCATTCCCGGGGTCCGGCTTTTCATCCGGTCCCGGGGCCTGGCTAGGGCCCCCTGAGGCCGAAAAGACTTGGCCCTGCCGCGGCACCCTGACGCCGCGCACCAGCGGCCACTCTTGTCCGTGTAGCCGACTGGAAGCTGGAAGCCCCCGACACGCCGCGACTGCCCTAAGCCTTGCCGGCTGGCGCTCTCCGGCGGCGGCACTCGCGCCTCGGCCTTCCACTGCGGCGTGTTCTGGGCGCTCTCGGCCGCTGGGCTCCTGAAGGAGGCCCCCATGGAGGGCAGAAGCACGGGGACCTTGTGGAGCCGTCTCAGGGCCTGGGGCGGCCCAGCACTGTTTCTGGCCAGCAGGACGGGAGCTCCCTTGGCTCCAGCATGGCCAGGAGCTCTACGAGGTTTTTCAGAGCCGGCTGGGAGTCTGAGGTGACCCAGCAGGGTTTCTGGCCAGCAGGAAGGTCGGGCAGGTTCGAGGTTCTGGGTTCGGGAAACTGTTTTGCCTCGTTCGGCCTCTCGGGGCCGTTTTCGGGCCCCGGGATTGCGAACAACTGGTCAGGTGTCACAAATAACACCAGATGGACCCTGGGAGTGGTCCCGGGACAGATTTTGCGCGGATTTTGTGTCATCCCCCCTCCTGGCAGATTTTGGTGGGAGGCAAGCACGGGGACCATGCCCAAGTTGTCTCGGGATCTTGCCGATGCCGATCTTCATCATGGTCCATGTCGGCCGTCGCCGATTCGCGAGGAGGGTGTGCGAATTGGCGCTGACCAAGATAGACGCTGACCAAGATCGACACGATGTTTCCTCGTTCAGTCTTGGTCATAGTCTCCGTTTTCTCCCCCTCCAGGTCCAGCACCTCTGCGCGGTGTCCGGCGGCGGCTACACCGCCGCCTCCTACGTGACGCACGTGTGCCGGGCTGCCTGCGGGTCGCCGCCCGGAGAGCAGGGGCTGGACGCCTGGTACGCGCGGGTGACGGCGCGGTTCGTGCTGAGGATCATAGGAGGAAAAGGTGCCGATGCTGCTGCCCCTCCCTTGTCTACGCCTTTTGAGGCCTCCTTGGGGGCCCTCTCCGCCCCGGCTAGATTCGCCTCGAAGTTCTGGCCACAACGCACCCTGGGAGAGGTCCAGGGAGTAGCGGTACCAGTACCTTCTGGAAAGGATGCAGCGCAATATCAGTTATCGAAGACGCCTACGGCGAATCGCCACCGCCCCTGCCTTTTGGGATGCGCCTATGTGGCCAAACGTGTGGACCAAGTTTGGCCACGCTATTGGACCATGCGTTCACCCTTCGGGAAACACGTGGGGGAGGAAGAGGAGGATGAGGAGAGGGAGGAGCAACGAGGATGAGGAGAAGGATGGCCCATCCTGGATGGGCAGACCTCTTGGGAGCTTCTTGTCTCATTGGGCCTCCTGGGAGCTTCCTGAGGGCCTCTTGGAGGCCTCTTGGGGACCTCCTTGGGCCCCTTGGAGACCTCTGGGGGGCTCTTTGGGGGCCGCTTTGACCGTCTTGCGGCGTTTCTGGTCCGTCTGACGCCGTCGGAAGCCGTCTTGGGGCCCTGATGGGGCGCTCCAGGGCCGCCTTGAAGGCCATCTTGGGCGTCTTGGAGGCCTCTTGGGCCGTCTTGGGGCCCTTTGGGGGCCGTCTTGGAGGCCTCTTGGGCCGTCCCGGCGCCATTCTGGAGGCCTCTTGGGCGATCTTGGAACAATCTTGGGGGTCGTCTAGATGGCCTCCTGGCCCGTCGAGCGCCTTTGGAAGCCGTCTTGAGGGCCTCTCTGGGCCGACTTGGGGTCCTCTTGGGTTGCTCCAAGGCTGTCTTGGAGGCGATCTTGGGCGTCTTGGAGGCCTCGTGGGCCGTCTTGGGGCCCTCTAAGGACAGTCCTGGGGGCCTCCGGCGCCATTCTGAGGCCCTCTTGGAGGACTCTTGGGCGATCTTGGGGCCAGCTTTGGGGGCTCTTGCGCTGACTCGGCGTCTTGGTGCTGGTTTGAGGCCTCTTGGGCCGTTCTGGAGCCATCGTGGAGGCCTCTGGGACCCTTTTGGGGACTCCTTGAGGTATCTTGGGCGGTCGGAACACGAAAACGGAGGAAAAGTCTAAATCCATTAACCACCGGAGGGAAATCAATGACGTTGGCTTCTTCGGGCCTTCCTGGAACACCGCTTGGGGGCCTCTGGGGCCGTCTTGGGCCATCTTGGACCCTCTTCGGCCGTCCTGGAGGCCTCCTTGCACCATCTTGGGCGAACTTGGAAGCCATCTGGGGCCATCTGGAACCTCTTGGAGGCCATCTTGAGCCGTCCTGGATTTTTCTGGACGTTGAGGTCGTTTGCGCGCCTTCCGTGTGGCTGGCGCGCTGGGCCGAAACGCCAGGGGGAAATTCTCAAAGAACCCAAAACGAAAGGACCCAGCACGCCAGGCACCCCTGTGGCAAGACCACAGGGGGCGGCGGATCGAAGACGCCTACGGCGAATTACCGCCGCCCCTTGACTTTTTGGAAGCGCCTATGTGGCCGAACGTTGAGGCCAGACCTGCCAAGCTATCGGACCATGTGTTCTCCGAATCGGTTTGGAAAGCCTTCGGGGAACACGTGGGCATCTTGAAGGTCATCTTGGCCGTCTGGAAGCCATCTTGACCCTTTCGGGCCTTCTTGGAGGACGTCTTGGAGGGCTCTTGGGCCGTCTTGGAGGCCATCTTGAGCGTCTTGGAGACCTCTTGGGCCGTCTTGGGGGCCTCTTGGGGCCGTGCCTTGGGCCTCTTGGGCGATCTTTGGGGGCACTTGGGCCGTCTCGTGCCGTCGGAAGGCAGAAAAAAAAGCAAATGCCACAATCCTTCAAACACCCATGGGAAATCAATGATTTTGGCCTTTTCGGGCCTTCCTGGAGGCCCTCGTGGAGGCCTCTTGGGCCGTCTTGGGCCATCTGAGGACCATGTTCGGCCGTCCTCCAAGAGGTCCTCCAGGAGGGCCCGAAGAGGCCAAAATAATTGATTTTCCTTTGGTTTTTCCCAACCATCCTGTGGTGTTGGGTCCTCGTTTTGAAGAGACGTCGCCCCGCGTTCCTCCTTCCTCCTCCTCCCCTTCCTCCCCCCTCCTCCCCCTCCCACACCCATTCTGGCACACCCCTCACACGCTTCGTGGTGGCCCCATAGGGAGCTCCACCGAAGGCCCCAGAGGCTGCGCCCGCATGCGGTTCCACCCCCCATTCTGGCACAGCCCTCACACGTTTCGTGGCCCCATAGGGAGCTCCACCGAAGGCCCCAGTGGCTGCGCCCGCATGCGGTTCCACCCCCCATTCTGGCACACCCCTCACACGTTTCGTGGCCCCATAGGGAGCTCCACCGAAGGCCCCAGTGGCTGCGCCCGCATGCGGTTCCACCCCCCATTCTGGCACACCCCTCACACGTTTCGTGGCCCCATAGGGAGCTCCACCGAAGGCCCCAGTGGCTGCGCCCGCATGCGGTTCCACCCCCCATTCTGGCACACCCCTCACACGTTTCGTGGCCCCATAGGGAGCTCCACCGAAGGCCCCAGTGGCTGCGCCCGCATGCGGTTCCACCCCCCATTCTGGCACACCCCTCACACGTTTCGTGGCCCCATAGGGAGCTCCACCGAAGGCCCCAGTGGCTGCGCCCGCATGCGGTTCCACCCCCTGTTCTGGCACACCCCTCGCGCGTTTCGTGGCCCCATAGGGAGCTCCACCGAAGGCCCCAGTGGCTGCGCCCGCATGCGGTTCCACCCCCCATTCTGGCACACCCCTCACGCGCTTCGTGGCCCCATAGGGAGCTCCACCGAAGGCTCCAGTGGCTGCGCCCGCATGCGGTTCCACCCCTCATTCTGGCACACCCCTCACACGTTTCGTGGCTCCATTGGGAGCTCCACCGAACGCTCCAGTGGCTGCGCACGCATGCGGTTCCACCCCCCTATGTCGGCACACCCCTCACACGCTTCGTGGGTGGCTCCATGGTGAGCTCCACCGAACGCCCCAGCGGCTGCGCTCGCATGTTGTCCCCCCCCCATTTCGGCACACCCCTCACACGGTTCGTGGCCCCATAGAGAGCTCCACCGAAGGCCCCAGTGGCTGCGTTCGCATGCGGTTCCACACTCTTTTTCGGCACGCCTTTCACACGCCTCGTGGCCCCATGGGGAGCTCCACCGAACGCCGCAGTGGCTGCGCTCGCATGCGGTTCCACCCCCCATTTCGGCACACCCCTCACACGTTTCGTGGCTCCATCGGGAGCTCCACCGAAGGCCCGAGTGGCTGCGCTGGCATGCGGTTCCACACTCCATTCTGGCACACCCCTCGCACGTTTCGTGGCCCCATAGGGAGCTCCACCAAAGGTCCCAGTGGCACTGCCCGCTTGCGTCCGCCACCACCCACCACAGCCCTTGTTCCCTGCGCTTCGCCCACCCAGAACAGCGCTTCGTAGCCCTATAGGAAGCTCCACCAAAGGTCCCAGCGGCACCGCCCGCATGCGTCCGCCACCACCCTGCGCAGCCCTTGTTCCCTGCCTGCGTTTCACCCACCCAGTACAGCGCTTCGTAGCCCTATAGGGAGCTCCACCGAAGGTCCCAGTGGCACCGCTCGCATGCGTCCGCCACCACGCAGCACAGCCCTCGCTGACCGCGACTCACCCACCCAGTACAGCGCTTCGTGGCCCCATAGGGAGCTCCACCGAAGGTCCCAGTGGCACCGCCCGCATGCGTCCGCCACCACCCAGCACACTTGCGGCATTCACAACTGCATATGTCTGGGTCCTTCGCCAGGCTAATTGAAGGATGTTGGAATTTGTGTTTTCTCTGCATTCCGACGGCTCAAGACGGCCCAAGAAGCCCCCAAGATCGCGCCCCCAAGAGGGCCCCATGACGGCCCACGTGGCCTCCAAGATGGCCCCAAGAGGGCCCCAGCCCCAAGACAGCCCAAGAGGCATCCAACACACTCAGGATGGCCTCCAAGACGCCCAAGATGGCCTCCAAGACGGCCCCGAAGCGCCCCAAGAGGGTCCCCCGTTGGCTCAGAAAGGCTCCCAAGACGGCTCCCGACGGCGTCAGACGTGCCAGGAACCCACCAAGATGACCCCATAGGGAACACCACCGAAGGTTCCAGGTCTACCGTCCGCATGCGTCCCCCCACCCAGTACAGCGTTCCGTGGCCCTCCTCCCCCTCCTCCCTGCGTTTCACCAACCCAGTACAGCGCTTCGTGGCCCCATAGGGAGCCCCACCGAAGGTTCCAGGTCAACCGTCCGCATGCGCCCCCCCCATCCAGTACAGCGTTTCGTGGCCCTCCTCCCCCTCCTCCCTGCGTTTCACCGACCCAGTACAGCGCTTCGTGGCCCCATAGGGAGCCCCACCGAAGGTACCACGTCTACCGACCGCATGCGTCCCCCCCCCACCCAGTACAGCGTTTCGTGGCCCTCCTCCCCCTCCTCCTTGCGTTTCACACACCCAGTACAGCGCTTCGTGGCCCCATAGGGAGCTCCACCGAAGGTCCCAATGGCACCGCCCGCATGCGTCCGCCACCACTCAGCCCAGCCCTTGCTCCCTGCGTTTCGCCCACCCAGTACAGCGTTTCGTAGCCCCATCAGGAGCTCCACCGAAAGTCCCAGTGGCACCTCCCGCATGCGTCCGCCACCACCCTGCACAGCCCTTGCTCCTTGCGTTTCACCCACCTACTGCAGCGCTTCGTGGCCCCATAGGGAGCTCCACCGAAGGTCCCAGTGACACCGCCCGCATGCGTCCGCCACCACGCAGCACAGCCCATCCCGCCACCGTGCCTGGGTTGTGGGCCAGCCCATCCCGCCACCGTGCCTGGGTTGTGGGTCAAGGCCCATGCGGATGCCCTCGGTGGCCTCTCGGTGTCCTTTTGGGAGCCTCTTGGGAGCCTTTTGGGGGCCTCTTGGGGGCATCCTGGGGGCCTCCTGGGGGCCTTTTTGCGGGCTTCTTGGGGCCTCTTGAGGGCCTCTTGCGGGCAATCTTGGAGCCTCCTGAGGGCGTCTTGGGTTGCCTGAGGGCGTCTTGGGTTGGAGAGCTCGAAATTGTGGTTCGAGCTTTCCCTCTCCGATCCCTTTTGGGGCGTTCTTGGAGCCCACTTCAGCCGTCTCGGAGCAGTCTCTTGGGGGCCTCCTGGGCCGTCTTGGGGCGATCTTGGAGGCCTCTTGGGCCGTCTTGGAGCGTCGGGAATCAGA